TTTTCTTGATAGTAGAGCTATGTAGGTATGGCTTGGAGCTGGGAGTCAGCTCCAGGTACAGTCAGAAGTCTTCACTCCCCTAGTGGCTGGCAGATAGCAGGTTGAATGCTGCGGTCTCTCCTGCCTGGGATGGTGGCCAGGTGCATATAATCTAGTCTTCCCTGGCTAAAGCGGAGACTGCATTTCCCAAAATACTATCACTGCATTGATATCTATGGGTTTTGGGAGAAGTCCTGCAACCCAGTCACCCTTGGTGCAGGACTCTAAGTGGAAGAATACATTAGGTTTGAAATGAAACTTTTGGAGCACAGCCCACAGAGTGAGGATTGCTTAGACAAGAAAGATAATTGCTTATATGTATTTTTAAATAAATAAGTAAGTAAAAGATTTTGTTTACTTATTTTTAGAGAGAAAGAAAAAGGGGGGAGAAAGAGAGGGAGAGAAACATCAATTGGTTGCCTCTCGAACACACCCTGGGATCGAACCTGAAACCCAGGCATGTGCCCTGACTGGGAACCAACACAGCAACCTTTGGGTTTGTGAGACAATGCTCCAATCAACTGAGCCACACCAGTCAGGTCTTGCTTGTATATTATTTTTGAAACTAAGACATCCACTTGGCCCCAATGCTATTTTCGAGTAGCAGTAAGTTTAAAAGAAAAAGTAATGAAGATTGTTGGTTTGAATGTCAGTCATTTCCAAGTGACAGTAAAATTCTCCTTGCTGGCATTACTAGTGGATTAAATAATTCCATGTAGTTGAGCGTGAATTAATGTACTATTGCTGGTCATAAGCACGTCTGCGTATTAGACAGAATCAGGTGTGCCGGAACTGGCTGGCCCAGGCTCACAAGAGTCAGCTGTGCGCTTCTCTTCCCTCTCTGTGTTCTGCAAGGTCAAGCTGGTAGCTTGAAGTTGGCCATGGTGGGCATATTAACATCACAGAAAGCAGCAAATGCTTCCAAAGTCACTCTCAATGCTGGATGTTCCACATTTACCAGCATGCCACTGAGCCCAGTTCTTTTCATCCTATCTTGAGGATATGTTTACGGATCTTAGGAAGGGAGAGAGAAGAGGAACATCAGTGTCAGGAACACCAATCAGTTGCCTCCCAACGGGAGATCAAATCCCCTTTTGGTGAATGGGGGCGATGCTCCACCTGAGACACCTGGCCTGGGCCTCACTCCAGGTTTAATTCAACAAACATTTATTGTGCCAACTGTATGCCCACCACTATTTTAGGAAGCTATTTATATAGCATTGAACAAGACAGCCCCTTGGAGCTCTAAGGAGATTCTATAGATAAAGTTAACTCCAAGGAAACATGAAGTATAGATGGTTTGGGGTGAAAAAGCTGCCTGATGTCAATGTGGCCCTTTTGGTAATCCGAACCAAGTTTTCTCAGCATTCAATCTCTACTGGGCAAGTCGTCCTAGGAAGGATGGCTGTTAAAGCCCTCCGAGCCGTTCCATTTTTAACTACTTCCAGGAAAGTGCATTCCACAATTGTTCACCGCAATCACTTATATTTGATCACTTCCAGTTTTTCCCTGGTTTTGTATGCAGACTTTCCAAGCTGCCATGCCCAGGGCCAAGCACTGCACTGTACTGTACTCTGGTAAACACTAAGGTGAGCTCACCTAATGGTGTCCACATATTTCATTGTTAATTATGCAGATTGATATTATACTCTAAAATTTTAAAATATCAAAACAGAATGACAAATTAATATTCTACAGCTTATGATGAAAATAGACCATCTTGTGCCTCATCCCATTCCTCATCTCGCCCCAAGGTAACTTTCTCTACAGGGCCTGGTAACCTTGAACCCAGAATATCCATGTTCCATTTAATTTTCTTTTTTTCAAAAACTAACCCTTCAGTTCCTTGCTGAGGGGTTTGGGCCGGCGGTGGTGAGTAGCCACCTGGCCGCATGTGGGAGGTGAAGGGAGCGCTGGGGTCCAACAGCCTCACATGAGACTTTCAAACCCCCTTTCCCATTTTCAACCCATGGCTGCACCCCCTTCTCTGTGGTGCCTATTGCCTTTGGGGAATTTGGGGAGGAAAGGGCTTCTCATTAGCATTCTCCTCAAACTACTTTGTAACTTTGGTCTTTCTGCTAAAACAATTCTACTCCAAGTCTGCCATTCAGCTTTTGTGTCTGTGTATAAACTTTTACATTTCAAAGTGCACAGTGAAATGAACGAATCTTAAGTATACAACCCGATAAACATTTCACCAATGATCATATTCATTTAACAAACTTCCAGGTCAAGGTACAGAACATTTCTAGAACCAGAAACCTCCCTCGGGCTCCTCAAAGGTAACAGTCATTCTATAAATCTACCTGTTGTATATTCATGGCTTTAATTCACCAAGTTTACTCTGAATGCCAGTTGATTAAGTAAAATGTTAAACAATGCTGGGTTCAGAGTGGACCTGGAGGGAACATCCTCCAAGTGTTTGAAGATGAGCAGGGACCCTGAAAACTTCCTCTCCGGTTACGTCCTTTCACAGAGATACTCAGTTCTCTCCTTAGTGCGGTGCATCCAATCCGTAATAAAACTTCCTCAGTTTATTGAGTTTGGTAGAACCGAAAGACATAAAAGTTGCAAACAAAATAAAAAACATGCACCTGATTCTTTCCACAAAAAAATGTCTCAGAACCATGCTTTTTTTCCCCATTCGTAATTGACTGTAGCCAGTCAATGATGTTCCTACTTTGCTTCTGCTTTTCCTATATCAGAGTCTCTCCTCAAGCTCTGGTTAGTGGAGCGCTCCCAACCACAGCTGGGCCTGGCGCTGCTCAGGTAAAGGGTTAACGTGCTTCAGTTCCTCTTTCACAGTATAAAGGCCAATATCCCCTCACATGTTTGAGCACACCTCTCGCCTCCCTCTTGCCTTCTCAAGGACTTCCCTTCTCGGGGAACTGGGCCTTTCTCCTGCTATCTCACTAGCATGTGAGCTGTAATCTGGCCTCTTCTCTCTTGAAAAACAAGACAAACAACAACCACAAAACAACCCAAATCCCAACACTCCCGTGTGCTTTTTAAGCTCCGTAAGACTTGTCTGTACAACCGAATTTCCTTCTGACCACCCCACGCTGGCCTTGGCTTCCAAGGCCTTCCATCACACAGGCGTTGCTAAGGTCACTGCAGTGGGTTGAATAACAACCCCCTAAAAGATATGTGTACGTCCTAACCCTTAGACCTGTCAGCGTGAACTTATTTGGAAAAAAAGATGTCATTAAGTTAAGAATCTTGAGATGATATCATATAGGATTTAGGGCTGGCCCTAAATCCAATGACGATGTCCTCATTAGAGCGAGGCTGTGGGGGGCCTGAGGCAGAGGAGGAATGCAGAGGAGAAGCCCACATGAAGATGGAGTCAGAGATGGCAGTGGCGCATCTGTGAGCCAAGAACTGCTGGCTGTCGCAAGACACGGAGAGGCAAGGGAGGGCGCTCCTCCGAGCCCCTGGAGGGAATGCAGCTCTGCTTGATTTTGGACTTCTGATCTCCAGAATTCTGAGAGAATAAATTTGCATTGTTTTAAGCCACGGAGTTGTGGTAATTTGTTATGGTAGCTTAGGAAACCAACAGTCACGAATGATCTGTGTGGCAAACCCAGGCAATACCATCTACAGCCTCCATTTTACAGCAGTCAGTTGTTCATTCCTTGAAACATCTTACAGTCTTGGCTTCCAGGGAACCACTCCTTGTTGGGTTCTCTTCTTGTTGGGAATGCTTCAGCTCAGGGGTCTTTGCTAGCTTTTTGCTTCAACCTAACCTCTAAATGGCTGCGCTTCTCCTATATTCTCTCAAGTAATCACATCTATACCTGTGGGCCTAAGTATTATCCACATACTAAAGATTCGCAAACTGATGCCTCCAGCTTAGACCTGTGGACAGCTTTCATCATGTGTAGACCATGCCTTCTTGACATAGGAGCTTAGGTGTTTTATAGTTGTCTCATACATGAACCAACTATTCATGCAAAAACAGGACTTTTGATTTTTACAACACCTCTGCCACTGCAAAAACAAAACAAAACAAAACAAAACGAAACACAAACCCACCTGTTCCTTCTCTGGGTTTCCACATTCTGAAGAAATCTGCACCCAACACAAGTGCTCTGCCAGAACCTGCAAGTCATTCTTTCCTTTACTCTTGCATCCAAATCCTAAGCAAGTCTTGTCAACTTAAATGTAAACTGTATCATAAATCTATTCATTTCTCTTTATATGTGCTGTCACTATCCTGAGACCAAGCTAACATTACGAATCAGCTGGTCTCTTGCAATAGCTTCCAGCTGATTCTCCACGCAGCAGCTAGAGTGATCTTTTAAAACGTCGGATCATGCCATGTTCCTACCAAAAGCTCTCCCGCCAAGGGATTCCTACTGAATTCATCGCAAAATTAAAACTCTAAGAGCCTCTCGTGACCTTGTCCTTGCCTCCTGTCCCTCTCTCTCCTCCTGCTCCAGCCACTGTGGATCTTCCTTAGGGTCTAGGAATTTACATGAACTTCTCATACCTTGGACAGTCTCTGCTTGGGATTCTCTCCCCTCTCTGTGTCTTCAGCTCACTTCCTCCGAGAAAACTCCCTGACAGCACTCCCCTCACACACTGTCAGTTTCTCCTATTTTGTCTCATAGAACCATGGCATTTGCCACAATCTGTAATTACACATTTGATCGTGTGTTTATTTACTGTCTCTCCTACTGGGCTGCTTCCAGAAAGCAGCTGGGACTATGTCTGTTTCTCATCACTAAGCATAGAGCGCCTAGCTCAGGGGCAGCCACAGCCAGGATGCTCCATAAATATTTGTGGAATGAATTCACTCTTCTTTTCTCATCCTCAAATGTACCAGTATGTCCTAGCAGGAAGTCTTGTCTGGTAAGAATATATATCCACCCAAAAGAAAAAAATCTAAATTTTATGAAAACCCAAAGACTTTTTTTTTACAAACATATAAATTATTTTATTTACAAAGCCATGTTACAAAAAAAAAAAAAAAAGAAAGGAAAAAAGAGAAAAAAAGCTCAAAAAGAAAAATACAATCGCTCACTGGAGAACATCTCCAGGCCTGATGATGAACCACGGCAGTATCAATAGATACATGCTTGTTCTTTCCTTTTTACAACTGTAAGCCATAGAATTTACTATTTACACCTACTTTAGACATTTATTCTGCTTACAATATCACAGGCATGGAATGAATTCTGATAGTGCTAATACATGAAGGTGCGGGACAAAGAAGGAAAATACTTAGTGTTACAAAACATGGATCATAGAAAAGAAACCCACACCACAAGTGTGGCATTTGTTTAGAATGTTCGGACATGCTTCCTTCAAAATTCTTCTGGAAAAGGTTTTAAAATCAGTAGTAGGAAAGGACAAATGAGCAGGTGCAAATTCTTCTCTGTGCAACAAGTTATTTAATATACCCCATGACTGGCCAGCTACGTAAAACCCACAGTTTCGTTAAAGTGCCATGGGCCGACGGCATTAACAAAATAGAAGGTGTAAATAGAAAATTTCTTTTTTTCCTTTTTTTAAAACAAGAGTTCACTGAGAATCAGCAATAATAGAATATGCTGTATAAACTATTCTCTACAAAGGTTGATCAGCATTATTTACAACTGGTACATTGATACAAAAGAAGGCATACAAGTTATCCAAGTCGCTTTGTTTTTATGGCTGACAGGTCTATGCATTGCGTTATGCTTAACAACCGAACACTCCTGCCTCTGTGGCTGGCGGCAAGTCACGAGATCTTCAGGCAAATGGGCGTGTGCAGTCAAGAGGCTGGGAGAGAGGGCTGGGTGGGGGTGGGGGTGGGGGTGGGCAGAAGAGAAGTACCCAAAGGGGGTCACCCTCATAGTGCTTTATAGGCTGGTCCAGTTGAACTCCATTAAAACAAAACCAAAGAAAACCTTTTATTTGCATTCCGTTTTTCAAGCTGTGAGTTTTGAATACATCATTATAAAGTAAACCTGTGGTTGACTGTGAGGAAAGAAACATGGTGGGTTTTCCCTTTTTGCTCAGTTTTCCAGAAATGTCCTCACCTTGGTCAGAGCCAGTCTTTCACCAAGTCAGCAGCATTCGGCGGGGAGCCTCTTTCTTCCAGCTTGTAATGCAAGATGCAGAGCTAAAATGTTTAAGCCTATTACTGAACTGCTCCTTGAGTCCCTGTCCAGACGTTATTTCTCAGAAGCAGACACTTCATCTCTCAACCTTTGTTTTCCCTCTTTGAATGTAAGAGTTTATAAATCAGAGGGTTATTTTGTTGCTGAGATTTTTTTTTTAGTCCTGCAACTTTTGCAACTCAAAATAAATTATAAAAAAAACAGACTTCTAAAACCGAACAAGACAAAAATTGTGCAAAAATAACAAAGATATGTACACACTTTTCAGTCTGAAGAAATGTACAATAAAAACATAATTCAAAGAACATTTTAAAAATATAAACATTGCTTAAACTTTCCTAAGTTTCATATTGTTTTTGAAACTATTCTGGTCAGTTAGCTCTGTAATATAGTAAAACATAAATTATTACAAAATTAACACTATAAAAATTTACTTTAGGAATATCTTCTAAACTTTTTTCAAAGGGTCAAATCTTGTTTATAATTTCTTAAACATTTATAAGTCTTAAATCTGCCTTAACTTTTTTTTTAAAAGAAAAAGTAACATATCTTCCATTCAATTTGCAGTCTCTTTTTTCTAAGATGTAAATAAACCAGCATATAAGTGCACTTTTAACACTGTAGAAATAAAAATGAAATCATCTGAACTAATGTCCTGGAACCTAATACCAACTCATGATTTTTAAAAAATCTTTTTATATTAAAAAATTTTAGTAACCCTATAAGAAACACTGTCAGTGCAATTTCATTGACGCAAATCACTCCATTTGCCTCCCGTCTTAGTAAAATCCAATTGTGTGGTGAAACTTAACAGTAGTCTGATCTTTGGGTTGGAGGGTGGGAGAAAGGAAAATGTCAGGGTGGGGATGAAGGTTTGTGTCCAGCTGCAAAACTGGCTTTCATTTCTGGTTGAGGGATGAAGCAAAACTCCTATTATCTGTGCCGTGATATCATTTGCAAAGTTACATGATGAACAGCACAGAACATTTCTTTTATATTGCGAGTTACTTTACCGACTATGATTCCTGATTGGAGCTTACAGTACTGATGTTTCCTTCAAATCTCCAGTGTGGAGTTTCTTGGCTGCAGAGTGGCAGCTTCTCTTCCCAGTGGGTACTTGGGGGCTCAGCCTTACCACTTTCCTGGGGCGGCTGTGTCTGAGCTGTGGCCTCTGCTAACCCAGCGCACCCTGATGTATGGATGGGCAGAGTCACAGGGCCAAGTGACCCAGGCGCAGAGGTAGGTGAGCCTTGCTAGTACTTATTCTCACTAGGGGTTTGACACACAGCCCTCCATGGAGCTCCCCCCTGGGCCTTCCCCTCTTGCCTAGTCCTCCTGGAGGGCAGCCTGAGAATCTCCACAGCTGTAGGCACTGGGCCTTCTCCAGAGTGGCTTCCTGGGGTCTCCCACCTTCTCCCTTGGGTGCTTCCCTCTCCGACTTGCCCAGCTTTGTACATGATGCCCAGGAAGGGGTTTTGCAGCATGGATTCCTAGCAAGCTTGGATGACCACAGCCACCCACTCCCACCATCTTTTGAGGGATATCTTCTCTTACCCCCGTTCTCTGCTTCCTGCCACCTCCCAGACCCATTCCAGACCTGACACAGTACATTCTCTCTGACCTGCACAGCTGGACAGTGGTATTGGGTAAACCACATCTTTAAAAGGTTGCTTTTCTCAATTTTACCAATAGCATCTGGCTCCTGCTGTGCTGGTGCACCACAGGAACCTGGTGAGTGCACTGAGCCACCCTCCCACCTCTGCTCTCTGCTCCCCGAACACAGGCTGCTCCACAGCAAAGCCTCCTGTCGGCACACTGTCCAGAGGGAGCTGAGGAGAGGCAGCTTCTTCTGATGGCCTTGGAGACCCAGTGAGTGGCAGGTGGGAGGGGAAATCAAGGGATGGATGGGTGAGGACAAAGAAAGGAGCACTGCACGTGCTCAAGTTCAAGAGTTTCTGACGATGCCCACCAGGAACTAAAGTCCTGCACTGTCTGTTCTTGTGGCTGGAGCAAAACGATGATGGTGCAGTAGCTAAATCAGAAGCTGGAGGAGTGACCCCAAGCTTTGGAAGAATGTGTACATGTGGCAAACAAAAGACAATGCAAAAAAAAAAAAAAAACACTGGTATTTCCTGTAAATCGCAAATTCGCGTTCTCTTGCTTTTTTGTTTTTCTCCAAAGCTAAAAATTGGTCTTTAAAAATAGAAGAAGAAAGGCCAGAGTCATAGGCAGGGCCCAGGAAATGGACTCCCCCACCGCCCACTCCCTTTCCTCCCCCATCCCGGGCCTCCTGGGTGGGGTCGGGTAGCCAGGCATTGGTTTGGAAGTGGCTTCATCATCTTGTTACGGAAGAGTCCTTATCCTGCCGGTTCTGTTTGTGGTCTTCTAGAAAAGAGAAAAAAAAAAGAAAAAGAAAAGAAGAAAAAGGAAAAGTTTGGGGTTACCACAAGGATTCAAGAACAGAGTGAGTCTTCTCATCTATAACAAAAAGGACACATCCCAACTCCCGCAACCGGCTATAGGCAGGTGCAATGAGCACACGAGGGGATGGCTATAAAGGGCTCTGGAAATGTAGGGTAGTCACAACGATCCTGGCTGTGGAGGAAGATGCAGGGACGAGTCCTGTGAGCATTCAAGGGGTTCTCTCTAGGAGAGAGGGTGGGAGTAAGTGACCTGTCTTCAGTTTTTTGTCTCTATTATTCGCTCACCTGGGATGTTTCCTATCTAACCTGCGAACAGCATAGAGAATCGTCTAAGAAAGAAGCCAAGTGTCGGATTAAGCATAGAGACTTTGGAGACCGAGTCTTACTCTAGTCATCTGCACCTACAAAATGAGGATAATCCTTTTTGCCTCTCACAGAGTTTGTTAAAAGGTTTAAATGTATGTAAAGGGTGTTTAGCAAAGCACCTGCAGAGAAAGTGTTCAACAAATGATAGCTATTATTATTATTATTACTACTACATTTGTTTAGGCTGACTGCCAGCATTTTGGGCTCCCATGAGTGTGCCTGGAGCTTTGGACAGGTGCACTCGGCCACCTATGCAGGAGGCCTGCGGCAAACAGTGGCAGACTGCTTGAGTATAGACGAGCCACCTCCAACCCCACCAGCCCAGAAGGTGGGCAGCAGGTGCTCAGGCGCTGAAAGGGCCACAGTGTCTCAAAATAAATGAGACATCCCCTGGATCTGGGTATACAAAGACTACTTCCCTATAATTTTCATCTAAACTCTATCCCAGATTTGCGGGGAAACCCCAAAACTCAAGATGTAGATGAACACACTGCAATTTGTTATCTATAAAACCTGAAGCACATCTAAGACAACACAACACACAGCTGTATTTGTATCTTTTGCAATCATGTAGAACATGCAGAACCCTAACCCCTACTCCCTCTGGTCTCCCTTGGATGCACACAGGCCACTGGAGAAAATCATTGGTGCATTGGCTACTCTCACGTCTCAAGTTTATAAAAACCCCTAAATCTATGCTGAATATTCGTACCAGAGGCCTTAAGAAGGCACTGACTGGTATCTGCCCTGAGCAAGGCCCTTTAGTCAATGTCATCTTGTTTAATTTTCACAATAACCCTGGGAGGCAGGCATTGATTTTGCCATTTAATAGATGAAAAAAATCAGACTCAGAGAAGTCATCTGCCCAATATTACACAGCTGCTAATAATAATAGCTAAACTTGTGTGTTTGTTATATCAGGCATTTTCTAGAGGCTTTATCTGAATAAATAGTCATCCTTAAAAAGCCATATGAGGTAGGGGCCATTATAATCCCCATCTTAGTGTGAGGAAGCTGAAGCACAGAGAAGTTAAGTAACTTGCTCAAGGGCACACAGTTTAATAACTACTAGTTGTGGAAGCAAGACTACGATGCTCTTAACTGGAGATGAGATTTGGACCAGGGTCTGACTCCAACGCTCACATTCTTTCCACTCTGCTGATGACCCTATGAACTTCTGCTCCCCAGTAACTTACCTGTCGGCTGTGTCCTGGGCTGGACATGCTTGAAGGGCTGGATTGTGACAAAGCTAGGCTGCTATTTTTCCCCACCTGAAAGACACCAGTGAGGCCCTACTCAGACATGCAAGCCAGCTTGGGAAAGGCCTCCCCTCCCAGCCGTCCCACGTGTTGCTGGGGAAAGGAGAGGGGCTGCAGGATAACGCGCTCACTCTCCTTGCATCCACTTGGAACTTGTGTTTCCACTTTACATGGCAGAGAAAATGAACATGTTTCAGGGGGTCCTTTGAAGATGCCGTTCTCATCATGGAGGGGCACTGTTAATTCTGCTTCCCAGATGGAGATACTGGGAGTTTTAGGGGTGAGGACAAAAGCATCTGGCTAGAGGCGTGCCCCTCCCCTCAGGAGCATCTAACTCAGCAGAGGCCCAGTTCCATCAGCTGCCAATGGGTTATACAGATTTATCCACCTCTGAACACAGTTGCAGACTCCCCTGGACCAGTGGGGATAAGAGCCTGGGTCTTTTTCTGGGTCAGTGTCTTGGCCAGGGGACACAGTGCACACCTTACTGTTCTCGAGAAAAACAGCAAGATGGCACAGGTCTTCCCCATCAGGTGGGAGGCCGAGCTGGGTCCTTGAACAATGCAGTGGGAGCGAGTGGGTGTGGCCGACCAGCTCCTCTCCTTCCTTATTGGCCTCCTTGGCACCTGTGGGGCTGGTCCTCAGGTGAGTACCATTCCACAGGCAGCTCCCTCCTTTGGCCTATAAGAACTGGTCCTCTACTTAACTCGACTTTGCATAAAGACATTTGTCTTACATTCACGGTTCTTTTTGTTTAATGCTTCTATGCAAATTCTGGCCTTACACCTATCAGATACAATTAAACAGGCCCTCAATTGGTCGCCAAAGCACAGGTTTACCTTGAATTTCTCAACCGGAAGCCACACCCTTTCCAACATCCTAAGAGAATTAAGAGATTCCAAAAGCTTTTTTCTCCAGCATTTGGGAATCACCACCGGCAGTCACCCTGGACAAAGCCTTTTCTTAATGGCCTGGGGACAAGCCCCAGGTATCACCTGCACTAGAGAACCTATGCAGGCTAGACTTGAGGCAGCCCGTTACATTCATCAGCTGTTTTGAACTCCTTCCTGATGGGCACTCACTGGTGGAGGCTTGCCTGCTCCTCTTACCACTGGTGGTGACTGACTCATAGTGTTTGCTGAACATTTCCTATGTTCCTGTAGAGCCAAGGGTCAAAAGAACAAGCAACGTTCACTCAATACGGAGGCACTCCACTGACACAGAGGCATGGGAGGTAAGAGCCCAGACCCCGGAGCTAAATTACTTGGTTTGGATCCCAACCCTACTATTTGCTGTGTGACTTTGGGCACATTGCTTGATTTTCCTGTGCTTTGGTTTACTGCTCTACAAAATGGGGTGGGTCCTTACCATAACAGGTAAGGAAGAAATAAGTTAATATACCTGAACTACTTGGAACACAGCCCATCCCATGAGTATTAGCTACTAGGACTTTCTCTAAAATGGGTGATCCTACCACCTTGCTGCTCAGGGTGCAGCCTGCAAATCAGTGGTCTGTTAGAAATGCAGACTCTCAGGCCCCACCCCAGGCCTGCTGACTCAGAACATGCATCTTAACAAACCCCCAGGTAATTCATGCGCATGTTCAATTTTTGGAAGTCCTGGCTATGCCCTCCACCCTGAGACCTGGAGGCAGCACTGACCCACAGTTAAGCCTCAGCACAGGGCCCTGTGGGTGCTGGTCCCCCTCCCCCTGCACCCCTGGGACTGGGGAGTCAGAAGGCAGCACAGGCTCTAGTGAGACGACCTACGTCTCCCCCTCTCTCACCTTGGCCTCAGTTGCAGCTTGTCTGGCCCCTGGGATCCAAACTTGCTGTTTCTCAAGTGTTTACTTGTGATTTGTGAATCCCCCTCAAGATGTTCTCTTCGTGAGGTTTTAACAAGTCTCATATAAAAATGACACAAAACAATAAAACATCTTTTTAACAACTGCCTCTCATCTCTCCCAAGTCCTCACCCCCAGGCGGGGCTCGGCTCAGGGTCTGGCCCGCTTCAGTCTGTGGCTGCTGCTACAGGCCGCTTGCTGCCCCGGCCCACCTGAGCCCCTCGGGCAGGCCTGCAGACTTTGGTCCTCCCGCCAGACTCGGCCCCTCCTCCGTGCCCAGCTGGCATCAGTCTGGCGAAGGTGGGGACTTTCTTAAGTAGCTTCCCCAGCCTGAGGAGACAGACTAGACTTGAGGATGTGAACAGAACTCAGGGGAAAGAAACACAGATTTTTCCTGGGCCATGCCACATTTCCATAGCTTTCTTCACAATATGCCACCCTATGTGTACAATGGCATTGAACAGTTCTGTGCTGGTTGGTGTGAGTTAGTTTTACTTTCAGAAACAAAAAGCTACATCAGTAAGAGGGGGTCAGGTGAAGGGAGAAAAGCAGTCACCTGGGAGCAGGAAGCATAAGCTGTCACCCCACATCAAGGTGGGACCCCAGTCATCATTTAACCTGCTTGGGCCTCAGCTCTTCCTAAGGGGACTCCAAAAGATCAGATAAAACTTCTTGGCAATAGAACTCTTTAATAAAACCATCGTCAGAACCTCGAGACAAAAATAGGAGTGGAGTGGGGAACTCGGAATCTCCTTGTGCCTCAGTTTACTCATCCGTAAGGTGGTGATAACAATTATCCCAACTGCACTGGGTTGTGAGGATTAAATGAGACAATGTTTGCATAATGCTTACAAGAGCACTTAGCACAAAGTGAGCGCTGCAGAAAGTATTTGTTAAATACACTGCCCTTGCAGCAGAGGGGGACACTTGCATATGGGGAAATGAGACAGAGTCACCTGGCTAAGCAGGGGTGCTGCCCAGCTCCCCCTGCCCTGGGGACTGAGAAGGAAGTGCCAGGAGGTCCCTGGCAGGATGGGTCCCTTACCTGCCGAGAGGAGGTGCTGTTAACGGGATCGGGCATCGGTGCGAGAAGGCTGGGCGGGTTCTTTTTGTGAACGCTATTCATACCAGGCATTTTAGTGATTTTACAGGCTTTGCTACTAGAACTTGAGTTCTTACGCTTTTTTCCTTCTGATTTGTCAAAAGAGAGGGGCAGAGAAGACACGGCATTGTGTGAGGCCAGAGAAAGGTCCCCTGCAAGGGAGGGCACTGAAAGGGGACAGGAGTCACTGCCGCCTCCCACCGAGCCCACGTGTCTCCCTATGTCCGCGGGGCCACCGGGCAGCGAGGTCCGTCCTGAGGGCTCCAGTTTGGCACTGAGTGGGCTCACCCCATTGTTTGAGTTGTGCATGGACAGACTGTTATAGGGAAGGGCCGCCTGATAGGAGTTCAAAGCTGAACTGGCATTCAAAACACAGTTCTTTTTGTGGGGCCCTGATAATGAAGACGAGAGGGATGTCTGCAAGGAGAATGAGGAGGAGGAGGAGGAAGTTGAGGATTGCGGCTTCCTCTTTTTGTTACTTGGAGACTCGTCGCTACGGGCAGACAGGTCTTTGACTTTTGAGGATTTGCTGGTTTTGGTTTTGGATGGCTTGTGGGATGGGGAAGGGATGACGGCTGGTATCGGGGACACCGCGGATGGGGCCTTGAAGGTTGAGTCCATGATGCTGAGGGTTGCAGCCACATGAGGGAAAGCTGTGGTGTGTGACATGAGGGCGCTCGGGTCCGGCGATGTCACAAAAGCTGCGTTTGAGAGCATGGCTGATGTCATTATGTAAGAAGAGGTGAGTCTCGAGCTGATGGGAGCTGAAGGAAGATACACAGCACTGGGGTTGCTGAAAGGCTGTAAAACGGATGCTGGAACAGGGGTGGTGATGTGGGCTGCTGGCGAGGGCATGGGGCTATCTGCCGCAGGAGGGATCTTCCTAAACATGAGAGAAGAGTGAGAGAGAAACAGTGAGAACCGGCTTGGCATTCCTCAGAGGCTCGATTAAGTGCGAGCATCAGGGCTACAGAGAAAACCCTGGTAGGACCAGACTATGGAAAATGAAGCCTTGAAGGATGGCAAATCTGAATTATGGCCCTTCCCTAGTCCCTGGGGCTCCCCCCATCGCCATATCCAGCAAGCTCATTTCAACCACTTTCAGGTTCTCCGATCCTTTTCTCCACGCTTGGCTATTGGATAATGGCTAATTCAGGTTCATGAATAAAAGGCGATGGTGATTTAGAATAGAAATTTCTCCAACAATATTGGTCTCCTTATTTGCAGGGGTGGGAGGCTGTGATGAAGGTGGTTTTTAATGAGAAGTGGTCATTTCACACTTAGGTCCTGGCCTGAAGTGAGAATTGTGAGGACAAGGCTTTGTCACCTACACACATGGGCCAGAGCAGCCTCTGCCCACCCGACCCCTGCCACTCCTCACTGCTCTGGGCTCCAGGCACAGTGGGAAATGCCCCTCTGCTCACAGGCCAGCCTCCTCCTGTATTTCCTGTCTGCAGCCTCTGGTTTGTTCCATGGAGGCATTTCCATGTTAGCTTGTGGCTACTGGCTCCTGCTGGCCAGGCCATGGAAGCCGCAGGGCAGCAGGGGGTCGGGGCTGGGAAATGATGCAAGATGCTAACTTTCTCAGACCCGGGGCTAACTTCTTCTTGACCCCCCAGCTTATGTCAGCTCTCACTCAAAGGAGCTATAATTGGAGTGTGGCTGCCCTTCAACAGGTCTTCTTGTACTTGTGTCAGGAAGGGGTGAGAGAGCAGAAACCCTCATGTATCCAGAAAAGGGGATCAGGAATTTCTAGTTTGTTCTGAAGACAAATGTAGGGTTTGGGCATAGGAGAACACATGGACAGGGAAGGTCCTCTTGGAGGTTGGGGTGCCTGGGAGCAAACTCCATGCCGCTTACACTCCGTGGAGCCAAGGCCAGAACCAGGTGGTGGGCCACCCTGGGTGGGCCACCCAGGTGGGCCCTCCTGCAAACTCCATCCTTTAACTGGTGGTAGAAGTAGCTCCCAATTCTAAGCCATGGCCTGATATTGCTGCTACTCTGGGGACCAGGAGGAGCACAGAGCCTTGGGGAATCACCATTTGTTCCAGATTTGCAGGAAAAGAATACTGACCTCAGGATGAATGTTGTCAAACTGGCTCTTTTTTATTTCTCACCTTTCCCCACTCCCTGTATCCCCTGGGAATCATTTCCAGCAGAGCTAGGGCTCTCCAGAAGTTAGGGATTCACTCTCCTTTGAAAGCAGCACTTGAAGGTGAGCAGGTCTGGCATCTGCAACCCAGGGGCTTGCAGCAAGGCGTGAGATGGGCTTCTCCAGACCCTTTTTCTCCCGAGAGGCCCCCCTCCCAGCTGTAGCATCAGGGAACTCTGGAAAGAGGCCCTGCTGACGAGGACGTGCCTCTCATAGCACTGTTCTCTTTGAGGATTCTATTTTCTGCCTGCCACTGGGTGAAGCTATGGCTTCAGTCTTTAGGGTGGAATCCGAAGGAATCCTTGAATATAGATAAACAGAGTCCTTGAAAACATCAGACTGAGGAGATCAAAGATAAAAGAAAAATGTTGCCAAACACATTGTGGCCATAACAGTGTTTGAAAATCTCCTTTCTCTCAAGCCTAAAGAATGTAGAAGATCCCATCAGCACTAAACAAGTGTTCCATTAATTGCACTTATTGCAATGAATGAATGAGTAAATGAACGGATGGATGGATGGGTGGGTGGATGGTGAGCAAGTGAATTCTCAGTAGCAACAAACTATGCATGCTGGGCAAGGACTTCCATATAATTGGACGGGAAAGGTCTAAACACGCTCTTAGAACTGCTGGGCACGGTACGACCCCCTCCTAACAGTGCCAGGGAACATGTCTCAGCACGTGTGGCATCGGCACACTTGCCCTGCTGTCTCAGCTGCCTTGGTGTGGACTGTAGGCCTCCCGCTCAATCTCCCCTCAACTCAAGTTTTTTACCAGTTAGAGTCTGGATAGAAGTACATGTGGGCAGAGGTTTGGCAGTTACTTGTAATAAAAAGTTACTTACAAAGATCAGATGGTTCATTTAGAGAGGACCCCACTCAAGACCTTAACTGGGATCTCTCTGAATGTCCCAATTTGTAATTTTTCCATTCAATAGTATAAATTCACGCTTCACTTGTGCTGACAAGCTGGGCTGAAGTCCTTAATCTTGCCTCTCAGACACTCAGGATTGGGATGGGGCTATTTTTTGGCATACTTTTTCTCCCTCTCCTGCCTGTCCCACTGATCGTAAGTGGACAGCAGAGGCAGGAGAGAAGAGCAGGGGGAAGCAGGGCAAGGGCCATGTGCCTGCTCACTGTCCCCGGGACCCCCTTCCCCCCCATGCTGAGCAGTTTATGTGTCTGTCTAGGGGCTGAATGGCAGTGGATTTCAGCTTTGCGGGCTGTGCCTGGTTTAAGCTTTGCACACTGGCCTAGGGAAGTCCCGTAAAAAGCCCACAGATGCGAATAAATTACTGACAGTGCCCATCCTCCCCTGCCAGCTGGCATGGAGCTCCAGATGCTGACCTGGCTGAAAGAGAATACTGTGTTGGCGTCTCCTGATGCAGAGTTAAATGCTTGTTAAAGAAAAAAGAGTCTTGGCCGTTCCTTTTCTTCCTAATGTCTTCCACGCCCCCATCGGCTGCCATCCCTCCAAGTTCGGGCCCCTCCGGGCCTGGGGTTTGGGCAGCGAGGTTGAGAGGGCAGCGGGGTGCTACGCTCTCCAGAGTTGACACCCAGGCAGCCCCAATGTTGCTCAGTGACAGTAGATTGGTTAGGCAAGTCCTGAAAAGGGGGGAGGGACCTGATGCCCTGTGGCTCGGGTTTCTGTGCCTGAGGAGGAAAGGAATATGGAGCTTGAGCTGACAGGACAGCAGGTAGCGAAATACAGATCAACACATTCCTTCCACGTGCCTGGGTTTTACACTTCCACAACACAGGAGAGCAAAGAGCTGCGAGAGTCACCAGGGCTGGCTGCCATCTTGGGGGAACAATCGCAGAAGGATAAATTAACAAATAACCATGAACACGGTAAACCCCGCATGCAGCACCGATTTGTTGCTGTTCAGAATGGACACAAGTAGGTATCGAGGGTGTCTTTTAGACACACTGGGCAGTCACTTAAATGGGAAGAAATGATAAGCTTCTCTTGTGGCCCTTTCCTACTTTTTGGAAAGTATTCTCATTTAGTCCTAAATCCACCCTGAGAGCTTCTTGCAGACACAACAGAGCTTACTCCTCCTAGACGTTGAGGTCAGCAAGCTCCTTGGGCACCATGATGAAGAGGGGCCGCACTGCCTGGGACAGAGGAGGAAACCCGGGAGAAAGGCAGGTTTTGAATTCTGTTCCCGTCCCCACTACCAGTCCCTCTCATTTCGCAGGAACGCCTTCCTTGCCTCGCCTGGGCTTCACTGGGCGGGGTGAGGGCTTCAGAGTTGGCTTTCCTCAACCATCTGGGCTTTGATCTGAGAAAGCTATGATGTAAGCAATTATGATACCTTAAGAGCTCACCTTTGTAGGAGTGGGGGGTGGGGATAGCCAGCAGGCTGGTCTTGTTTTATCAAGTGGCCAGAATGGCAGTTTCTTATGTGCTGAGGTTTGAGAGGGTCTAGCCTGTCATTCCTTCACAACAGCATTTTCCTAAGAAGGTTTCTTCCTTTTTTTATGAAACTCCTATGAAAATGTAAATACATTGGGAGGTGTTGGAGAATAAAGGGACATTAGAGAAATGGAATGTAAGCTTGGGTTTAGGTTAGAGAGAAGTGTGAGTACAGAGCTCTAGGGAGGTTGGGAAGGGCCAAAGACAAGCTTAACCAACTTCACAACATCACTCAGGATCTGCCCTGTTGGCTGATGTATGTATTTTTTCATAGGATATTAAACGATTAGACATTGGTCCATAACCACCATGAAATTTTTAGTATTGACATTATAGCCTTAACATTACAAACAGACACATATTTTTAATATCCTTAGGTGTTCTTCCTCATAGCCAAAAGGCCCTTTATCATTGTTAAAGAAATAAGATTTTATATAATACTCTTTTCATTGAGAAGATTACCAACACAAAAATGACCTCCAAATAAGACAAACCATAACACACATCTATGTGTCTCTGAAAAACTGTAGGCAAGCCATTAAGGAAAGCTGGCATTTAAGAACTAATTATGAATCCTGATTCCAGAACCATTTTGTTCTGCTAAAAGCTAACTGCTGATGCTCATTTAAAAAGTTGGGGTTCAGATAGTTGTAGGGCAGCTCTGATCTTACATTGCACAAGAACCGCTCACTTACTTCCACATCTGCGAATTCAAGTGTTTTTCTACCATGGAGTTTAGTGCGAATCGAAAACGATCCCATCTTCTATCAAACACATAGTACCCTCGTCCCATGAGGCGACTCCCGAATGAGCAAAACTGTGAGGAAAAAAAGTTTTAATTTTGATTACAGGCTAATAAGCTAATATAAACCATACAGAGAAAAATAACATTTGCATAATAACACACAGGGGTGCACTTAAATTCAAAATAAAGAAGCAAACAGTACTGAAGCCAAAAATATTTCTGTGGTGCTTTAGTTTGAGCTCTAGATTTTTTTGCAGAACATCACATTATGACTCAACAATAGTGACATTTAATTTTCTGTGGCACTGAGGGCTCTTTCTCTACATCTGGGATTAAGCCAACATTTTAGGTTGAAAACACCAAAACCAGCAACAGCCAGCAGCCAGGATGATTTTTCAGTACCACCTGCTTATTGAGTCATCCATTTTCTTGCAGAACTTGGTGGTTCCTTGCTTCTTATCACAGTAATGGAAAGACCTCATGCTGATGTTCTTCGGCCGACTGGTCATACCTTTCCTATCTGTCATCAACAGAGCCACATAATTTCTAACTGGGTTGCACTCCTCCTTTCCTAGTCCGTCATCTCTTTTCCTATCAGCACTTGCAGGCTGCCCAGGACACATCACTGCCTCCACACTTACATTCATGCTGTTCCATCTGCCTGCCTTCTTCCTTCTTCCCTGTCACGCCCAATCCTCCCTGCCCTCGGTGCCCTATCAAGACTCTCGTTTCCAATGACCTTTATCTGGGTAACATTGCCACTCTGAACTCCCACAACACATGCACTGCATACTTTTTACATTTCACCTTGGAAACACTACGTGGTCTTGTGGTATATGTAATGCTTATGTGCCTGATGTGTTTATTCACTATAAATGAATAAAGCCCAGGGACCCCATTCTGTTCAATGAGGATAGTAGGGATCTGGGCAAAATGATGGATTGGAGAGGGAAGGTCCCACAAAATGTTTAAATCAAACTATTACATTTTAAACCATATGGCTGAAATATGGGCAGTAAGATGTTTAATAAACATCATTTTATTATGATGATAGGACAATCAGAAATGTAAGAAGCAGCCTCTGAGAAGGTGACATTTGGCTGGTCTAGAGCTCAGACGAGTCTGCAGATGACTCTATAACTCAAATGCAGCTTCTCTCCCTTTCCTCAGGCCTCCGACAGCTCCTGGCCTCCATCCCAGACATAGTGCTGGATTGGTGCTCACTCCACAACCCTTCCTGGAACAGTTCTCAGGAGCAAATGCAAGATCTTCCCTTTGTTTTGTTTCTGCTTATGTTTTGGGGGTTTTGCATTAAAATCTTGTTGCCCATCAAATCTGGTACTATTGATGAAAAAGTCTTTACTTTCATATTAAGTGCTTATTGATGAGGGAAGAAAACAGGCAAAGGGAATTCTCTAGCAAGAAGCTGGCCCCCCCGCATTATGTGGGAGCTCTTCCAGGTCTAGACATCTCTCCTTCCTTTGTCCCGTTGCTAAAGACACACTGAATGAGTGTCCATTACAAAAATGATTTAATATAGCAATCGACCATGAGAGAAAAGATAAAACAAAGAAACAAATGTGTAGCCTTTCTATTTAAATCAGCACAACATTAAGGGCACACAAATCCACTGTGGCCAGACCTGAGTGAATCCTTTGTAGCCTGGCAGCTTGTCACTTGGACAAACATCCTGATGTGTTCCAGATTCTGGCCTCCTGGGAGAGCTCAATCTCTTTTTCTGACTTGGAAGCCAAAGGCACCTTTTTGTCTCTGTTACCTGTATCTCTAATTCCATAGAGATGCAAAGCCACATGTCCTGAAAGGCTCTTGTTCCTGGTCACACAGAGCTGTAGATTCGCCATTGGCTACTGCAGCAGACCCCACAGGTTGCCAATCTCGCCAACTGCCACCCCACTGCCACCTCTCCCTGTATTTTCCTGGCTAACGGAACTGCACTTTTGTTCTGATATCTGACATGGAGCAGCGAGCAGGAAGGTGGGTCTCTTCCCAGAACCTTGGGATGAATCCTGGCTGGCTCCTCCCCGTGTCACTGCAGTCCCATCCTTCCCTGCTGTTGAGTGGTGCAGGCATGAGCATGTGAGCCAGTCTGGCAGAAGCAAGGGGGAAATCAGCTAGGGAGTTCACAGGAAGATTTTCATCCCTATGAATGAAGACTCCCTTTCTGTTTGTACCTTTCCATCCTGTGTAAATGCTACTGCATGAGGACTGGAGTTGTAGCACACACACTGAGACCAGTGTCCCTCAGCTTGGAACCACTTACCTCTAGACTTCTTGTGACACGAGTCAAATAAATGACCATAGTATATGCACTGTATGAGTTGAGTTTTTTACTATTGGCAGTCAAAGGCATTCTTAATTATCATCCTTCACTACTTCTGAATTAGCCAAGAGGCTATTGGTAAACCTCAGGTCCCTTCAACAAGAAGTGAATTTGGTCTTCATTCATCTCACAGACAGAGGGAGAAGGGAGTCATTCTTTCTTGATGCAGGATCGATTTCACCTACATAGTCCCTGAGCTCCAGAAAGAGTCAAAACTATTCCTGCAGGGCTCAAGCTGACACCAGAGCAAACCATCCATGGGGTCCCATGCGCCAGGCCCCCAGCATTCGGTTCTGTGATGGTAGCACCAGGCATCTCCTTCTCAAGTGCTCATATGGCGAACATAAATACAACTCCAGCTCATGCCTCTTTATGTTTCTCAGCTCGATTCAAATGATCTGAATAGTTAAAGTGGGCCCTTTCGAGGACTGGGAAGAAAACGACCTTTCTCTTCATCAGCAATCAAGTTGCTACGAACGGCCTGGGCTCCTCCTTTCCTTAATGCACAGATATACACACCCTCAGTACCAGCGCCATATGGTCACACTCACTAATAACAATAAAAACTCAGAACCAACATGGGAGAAACAGCTAGGGCTGGCACCTGGCATACTGCTTAGACAGACGGCTCCCAGTGCAGGTGAGCTAGACTAACTCTTGAAATCAAAGTCTTCAATTTTACATGGGCAAAGCCAGAAGGTCAGCTCCCCAGTGCACTTAAATAAACACCATTTCTCAAGCATTATTACTTCAAGGTAGACTACAAATACTCAGGTGCTTTAGGATTATAATAAGTTGGGAGCCCTTTCCTTTCCTTCTGTGTTTTTCAAGCATATTTCTATGGCAATCACTTAACCTCAGGGTTGCTTGTCCTGACGACCTCTCCTTAGGAATGCATGCCCTTTGACGCGATCACCTAAATGCCCGCAAAGCACAGGGGGAAATATGCACAAAGGGAAACATCCAGTGGCCTACCCCAAGAGGTCTAGGGTGGTGGGTGGAGAACTGACAATCAAACTTCTCAGATTCGTCGGCTCCGTCCATCTCCCCTTCATCACTTGACAGTCGGCTGGCAAGGTCACCTCCAACTGGAGGCAGAGGGGGTTCCGGAGTGTAGCCACTATGATTTGAAGATGTGGTACTGCTTATGCTATTTGCAGATGATGGTCTAAGGGCAAGAGAGAGCAAACAGAATAAACTTTTCTGAGGTATCAAGACCCGTGCAGTTTAATAGAGCCCAGAAGGCAGCTCAAGTAGCTTTTCCAGGTCAGTGGCAAATTTGCACAGGGAAACATTCAGGCTAAGAGAGTTAGCAGCAACCAGCCCTCTACAGATCTGGTGGAGCTAAGGCTCTGCCCTGTTTCCATCTGGGCATCAGGGAAAACATGAACAGTGAATGCAGAATGTAAAATGCAGCGACAGAGTCTTCTATGAGTTGTTGTAAGTATTCGACCACTTGCATGTAAGTAATCGGTCATGTAGTTGTTTCTCTTTGAAAGTGGAACTTGACAGGAAGATCGACCAGATAAACAAGTTCAAACCAATTGACAAAATATCAATAATGATGGAGGACATCCCTATAGACACCATTTTTTTTTTGCTACTGAACTATGACTTTATGAGATTGTTAGAGTGACATGAAAAAAGGTTTTGTCTGAATGATGGGGCCACAAGTCTTTTACCCCACAGCCAGGCCAGTTTCTTCATATCATGCCACATGTAGTTTAATTGTATCTTCTGTGGAAAATGTTTAATTTTTTTAAAAGGTGAGGCTTTTAAAATTTTTATTTACTTATATTTAGAGAGAAGGGAAGAGAGGGTAAGAAACATTAATGCCTCTCATGGGTCCCCTACAGGAGACCTGGTCTGCAACCCAGGCATGTGCCCTGACTGGGAATTGAACCAGTGACCTTTTGGTTCACAAGCCGGTGCTCAATCTAGTGAGACACACCAAACAGGGCGAATGTTTAATCTTTGACAAGGAATTAGGCCCTCCCACTGGCACAGTTGGCTTGTAGTAGGTGTGGAAATATGTTTCTCAATGAAGGAATAAATGAATTCCATGTGTATAAATAATCCAAGAGATCTCATCTCAATTATGGCTAAGATTATAGAGAAGCAATGTCATAGTATGAAGTAGAACATGCTTTCTAAGCAGTAAAAATCAAAACAAGGTAAAAACAAAAAATCAAATAAGCATATCCACATCAGTAGAAGAGTTAGAAGAGAAATAGTCAAAGTGAGTGGTCAGTTGTTTTTACTTCTGATCAGGGAAAAAGATAGGAAGGAAAAAAACCTGAGATCCTTAAAAAATATTGCTTTTCTGTATTCTTCTTTGAAAGCTGCCCCTTAAAGTCACATGAAGCAGCACTGTTGATCTGTCTCCCTTCTCTTTCACATCTACTATGGATTCTTTGTTGCTATAAAATCTTTCCAGGTATGAAATACCTGAGTTCATGGCCTGGCTGGTGTGGCTCAGTGGATTGAGTGCCAGCCTGCGAACCAAAGGGTCACTGTTTTGATTCCCAATCAGGGTACATGCCTCGGCTGTGGACCAGGTCCCTAACAAGGGGCATATGAGAGGCAACCACACATTGATGTTTCTCTCCCTCACTTTCTCTCTCCCTTCCCCTCTCTAAAATAAATAAATAAAATCTTTAAAAAAAAAAAAAAAAAAAAGAAATACCTGAGTTCAAAGCAGCTCCTGAAGGCACAGTCCTTTAAAAACAAAGCCACAGAGGTGGAAACAACCCAAATGTCCATCAAAAGATAAATGGATAAGCAAAATATGGTATATCCACACAAAATATTAATTAAGTCTTTAAAAATGATGACATTTTGATACATGCTACGACATGGATGAACCATGAAGACATTATGCTAAGGGAAATAAGCCAGACAGAAAGGACAAATATTGTTATGATTCCACTTACACAACATACCTAGAATAGTCAAGTCCATAGAGACAGAAAGCAGAGCAGTAGTGGGGCAGGGGGAATGGGACATTTGTGTTCAGTGAGTGCAGAGAGGTTCAGGACGGGATCTCGAAAAGTTCTGGAGACGGTGGTGGCGGCTGCACCACAATGTGAGTGTGCTCAATGCTACTAAACTGTACACTTAGAAATGGTTAACATGATAAATTTTGTTATGTATATTTTACCACAAAAAACACCAAAACCCACCCTGAACAGAACTACAGGTAGTTTTTCAGTGTTATTAAAAGAACCCCAGCCCTGGCTGGTGTAGCTCAGTGGACTGAGCGCGGACCTGTGAGTCAAAGGATCGTGGTTCGATTCCCAGTCAGGGCATATGCCTGGGTTGCAGGCCAGTTCCCAGCAGGGGACGCACAAAAGGCAACCGTACATTAATATTTCTCTCCCTCTCTCCTGCCCTTCCCCTCTAAAGATAAATAAATAAAATCTTTAAAAAAAAAGAACCCCATTAGTATGACAGTTTATTATTGACTATCACCTCCCCATATTTATAAAAACAAAGATGCCATTCACTCCGCACATTAAGTCTACAGTCCAGAGACCACATCTCCCTGGGTGCATTTCCAGATACCTACTCCCCTGGATCAGAAGGGGCAAGTGCACTATTGCCTGTTAACAGCTGAAGACCCAAATGGTAAAACCATTTTGATGGAACGTATGAAAAAAGAAAACAGCATCCATAATCCTACCACTGAAGATCAAGTGCTATTACCATTTTGAGTTATTATATCCTTCTAGACTTCTTTACTGCGCGTACACTGGCATTTTAAAATAAGAACTGGATGGACCACACTGCACATACTATTTTGAGATATTAAGGAAAAACCTAGTGATATTGTAAGAATCTCTCCATGTATAGAACTATGTCATCTTTTAAAATATTCCCCAGTATTCCAAAATATGGATACATCTCAATTTACTCAACTAGTCTATGGATGGACATTTAAATTGTTTCCAGACTTTCTAGTAGGCTCTTTCTGAAGCCTTCTCCAACATGATAGGAACTCCTGCCTTACAGGAGATAAAAGTTAGCTGGATTTTGCTAAGTGTGTAATAGTGTCATGATTACACAGAAAATTATCTTTACTTTTAAAAGATGCATCTGGAAATCTTCACAAGTGGAATGCCATGATAATGGCAGTTTAGTCCAAAATATATCATAAAAAATATAGATAAAGTAAATATAATTGTAAAACGTGAATATTATAATTCTTCAAGCTAGGTATATGGGGTGTTCATTATATTATACTTTTTCCTTTTCTGTGTATGGGTTAAAATTTAATAAGGAGAAGTAGAAAAAGATAATGGAAAAAAGTGAGCAAGGAATACAGAAACTTTTTTGTAAGAAAGTGTGGAAGAACTTCCTGTTAAGTGGGCTGATTGATTGAACACTTATCTCCTCTCCCTTCCAAAATCCTACTAAAATCAGAGTAAGAGGATAAAAAAGGCATTAGCTGCAAAGAACAAAAAGGTCGGCAAAAATATGGTGATAGTTATAGTAATGAACTCACAGCCTCCACTGAACCTCCACACCATAATGAAATCTCATTCATCTTGCTAATGATTGGTTTAGAAAAGGACATGAGAAATAAAAGAAAATGTGTTCTTTGGGGAGGGCTTTTGCAAAGATTTTTTTCACCTTTAAAAAGAGACACAAGAAAAAAGTGGTTTCCACCTTCACTAGCCCTTATTTTATCTGGATGTGCTGGAAAGTGCTACAACCATCTTGCTATAGATTTTGAAGACTGAAGAAATGAAATGAAAAAAGGGCAGAGAAGCAGAGCCAATTTCTGATCTCTGGGGACAGATGCCCTTTCACCTCCAGACTTCCTGTCTCATGTGATTAGAAATTTGCTAATTATTTCAGCACATATTGAGACCAGGTTTTCTGCAAATAAACAAATGGGGATACATAGAGCTAAAATATTTTTGCAAAGCCAAGTAAGAAAATCAACAACAAAATGAAAGGACAAGCCACCGAAAGGAAGAACATATTCACCAATGATACACCTGATAATGGGCTAATATAAAAAATTTGTGCAACTCAACATTAAAACAAACAAACAATCCAATTAGAAAAATGAGCAGAGGACCTAAATAATCATTTTTCCAAAGAAGACATACAGATGGCTAATAAACATATGACAAGATGCTCAATGTGACTAATGATCAGAAAAATGCAAAATAAAACCAGAATGAAATACCACCTCACACTTGTCAGAATGGCTATCATCAATAATCCAAAAACAACAAGTGCTGGTGAGGATATGGAGCAAGGGGAACCCTTTAGCACTGTTGGTGGGAATGCAGATTGGTACAACCACTGTGGAAAGCAATATGGAGTTGCCTCAAAAATTACAAGGAAACTGCCCTATGACCCAGAGATTCTACTTCTGGGTATATAACCCAAGAATCCCAAAACACTAATTTGAAAGAATATATGCACCCTTATGTTCACTGCAGCATTATTTCAATAGCCTAGCTATGGAAACAACCCAAGAGCTCATCAATAGACAAGCAGGTGAAAAAGTTGTGATGTATATATACAATGGAATCTTAGCCATAAAAAAGAATGAAATCTTACCATTTGTGACCGTAGGGATGGACCTAGAGGGTATTATGCTAAGTGAAATAAGTAAGACAGAGAAAGACAAATGCCATACGATTTCACTTCTATGTGGAATCTGAAGAGTAAAATAAATGAACAAACAAAACAGAAACAGACTCATAGATACAGAGATTAGACTTATGGTCAGAGGAGGGGGGTTGGGGGACTAAGTGAAAAAGGTGAAGGAATTAAAAAGTACAAACTGGTAGTCACAAAATAGTCACAGGGATGTAAAGCACAGCACAAGTAATACAGTCAACAATATTGTAATAACTATGTACAGTGGCAGGTGAGTATTTAAAACATTGGGGGGAGCACTTGGTAAAGCATTTAATTTTCTAACCACTAGGCTGTATACCTAAAATGAATACAAAATAATACTGAATGTAAACTGAGATTGAAAAAAAAATGCCCAGGTTTTGCACCTGAAGAACCCCAACTGAGGTAAGTGTGAAGAAGAGATTTAACATATTTTTAGAAGACAGAATATGGCTGGAGAATGTTAATTAATGGGACAGGAGGTGACCTACCACAGAACCTCTGAGAAAGAGGGCACCAGGAGCTACC